AGAGAGAGAGAGAGAGAGAGAGAGAGAGAGAGAGAGAGAGAGAGACTTTGCTCCTTTTGAAGCATCCCACTCCCAGACCAGTGATGAAGCCTACAAGAAAGGAAGGGATAGGAACAGTCCTCGCTTCCTTTTTTCTGTTCTGCTTATCTTCCTTTTCCTCTTCCATCCCCATCCTCCCTCCCCTTCCTGCTTTTCCTTCTGTGTTGGGCTGGAACCCAGGGCCTTACACATGCACTCCACCCCTGAACTGTATCTTCAGCCTCATATCCCTTTTCTGTAATGGACCCTGCAAACACTGCCTCCGGACCCATGCTAGGGACGTACCACTTTTCTTTGACACAGGCAAAAGAACTAAGGACAGGATTCAGAATGTCAATTACTGGCTTTATAGAATCTTGCCATCTCAGAAAAAAAAAAAAAAAAAAAAAAAAAAAAAAAAAAAAAAAAAAAAAAACTGGAGAAAATCCTTTAAATCAGCGTTAAATTAAACCCTTATCTGAAGTTTGGGCAAACTTCACTGCAAAGAACAACTCTTCCAGCCTGAAAACTGGTTCTTTTCCAACCTAGGGATCTCGTTGAGGCGTAAGTCCTGATTCAGTGTGACAGGGAGTCTACAAGGTTCCGCTCGTAGGCACCGCTGCTTATCTTTGCCTGCCTGTACACAGACCACCACTCAATTAATAGAGCGGGTGTCAGGGCAGGCCTCCCCTGGATACAGGAGGAAAGTAGGTCTCCGTTTGCAGAGAAAGAAGGCTCACCTCCATGAACTCCGTGCTGGAGCCCACATGCTGCCTGAAGCACAAAAGGAAATTCTCTTCAGTTGGCAGGATCTGCGCCAGCTGGGAAACACAGAAAAACCACATCAGTGTGAGAGGGGGGACCTCAGGGAACAGGATTGAGCTTCCCACAGGAAGGATGGAAAACCTCCAGCTGACAAGCGGCATGGAAATCGCATCTTGCTCTATTTTCGTGTCCTTCCTTGAGCACAGAGGCTGGGGGCCCTTCAAAGGGGTAAAAGGGTAAAAGGCTTACGATGGGGAGGGGTCAGCTTGACAGATGGAAAGAGCACTCCTTCAAAATGTGGCCACCCAGACTAAAAAGAATGCCCAGGAGATGATCCTCCCCAAGTGTTTAAATCTTTTGAAAAGTGCATCCTGATGCAGGATGCCTGGGAGGACCCGCTGTACCCAAGGAAAGGGGAACCTTTACAGGATTCTTGATTGTGATGGTAATGGCATGGTTCAAAGTCTAAACTGGAAGACTGCAGACTCCCAAATGGATGCTGTTTCATTGATTGTGAAATTAATACTTTAAAAATGTTATTCTTAAAAACTGCAAATACCAACCATGCATCCAACACTGCTGGAAACCCACCTAATTGTCGTTCATCCCCCTTGCTTCTTTCCCAGAATCCCCCAACTAAGGCAAATCCTAATTCATTTAACTCCACTAAATGAGATAATCTCATCCTCCTCACCAGCAATTGGCTTTGGAATAGGCATGTGGCCCATTCTGGCCAATGGCGAATGACATGTGAGAGGAAGGCTACTGTGAATTGTGGGAAAGTTTTCCTTCAGCTTGAAGAGGGGGGCATTTTGCAAACGGACATGGTTGCATCTGGATGTGAGTTCTGAAATGTCTGCAGCCCTTTGGCTACAAGATTGGGAAAGACGATAGGTTCTGTTTTGTTTTGTTTTGTTTTGTTTTGTAGCAAGGGACAGAACCAAGAGAAGAGAGGCAGAGCCAGAGCCAAACTTAACCATGGCCTTGCTTGTTAATAGTGTCTTTTGACTTAAATGAAGAATGAGTAAACCATGGCCAAGTACCACACAGGATCCAAGCCTTTTGTAAAGTTCTGGTGTACGTGGCCCCTCCCGTTCACTTGCTTATTTCCAGTACCTGCTTCCCTGTGACAGTGTCAGCATTGAAGGGTTGTGGACAGGGACTCTGTGGCCCATGAACCCTGAAACATTTCTTACAGGTTGTGTCTATTAAGGAAGATGTCTTCTGACCCCGAGATTTACAACATGGACATGTATATCATGCCCAGCCTTTAAAACTGGTATAGGGTGTCATCCCTCAGTGGCCCGAAGTTCCCACAGGTGAACTGCCCTCAGCTAAATTAGAGCAGCACCGCTGGGCAAGGTCTATGGTTCCCTCAGTTCTTGGGTGGAGCAGCCTGTACCCGGTGACTTACTGTCTGGGCCTCCGGTGAAACACAATCTATATTACAACAGAGTTTTATCGGAGATAAACCAAGGCAGAGATGGCCTCCCAGTTTAGCGCTTTCCCCGCCCTTTGGGAACATGCTCTCTTCCTTTCTGTTCTCCGCAGCATGGCACAAACCCTGAAATCACTGTCTCAAGCTTGGCTCCTGGTGTGTGGTAGCATTTGAGCCGATATGTCCTGGGAGAGCGAGGCCCTGATCCATGTGCTGTCACCATCATTCTTGACCTTCAACCATGGGTCATAAACCAATGATCAGAGTATTTATGTGTAAGTGTGAATATATATCTATGAATTTGCATATGTGTATATGTAAGCATGTAGAAATTACATGGAATGTATGTTATGCATGTAAATTATCTGCATAAAATACATGTTAAGCTTCATTTTTGGATGCCTTTAAGTGGGGTGTGCATACTCCTGTTAACTAGTCTTCTCACTGTCCTAAGCTTGGCTTATCCTACGTTTGCCACATCTGCTGGGTCCTGAGAGCATTTAGGGGTCAGATCCTAGACCATTGTTGCTCCGTCTTTTCTTGGGTGACACACAGAGAAAGCCCCAGTTCTTCTGTTTGGCTGGCTCAAGTGCTTGAGTGGGATGTTTCCGGCTGTGCCTGAGCATGGAGGCGGGGTGGGGGTGGTGGCCCAAGGGCTACAGCCCCTCAGCCAGCTCCTTGGCTCTCACCTCTGCCATCTCAATTTTCCCGTCTGAGTTTTTGTCATACTTCTGCATGAACTCCTTCATCTTCTCTCCAAAATTGTCACTCTTTGGTATCTGTGGACAGAGAATGGAGGCTGATCTTGCTGCCGAGTTATGAAGAGTCGAGGAGCCCAGTGAGGCAAGGCCAGGCATCCTTTTGTGTCCTGAACAAGTGGCTGCTCAGAGGGTCAGTCTCTGTGTTAGGTCTCAGTGATTAGCAAAGGGACACCAGACACGTGGGCATGTTCTGTACCATGTGGTTAGACATACCCTTTGACCTTTGAGATGGGGTGATCTGCAGCTCCATAAAGGGTTTTGACTTACTCCCACCACTCAGCTGTGAGCTTAACAGCTCTTAGCATAACCCAGCTCAACCCATTTACTCCAGAAGAGACTCCAACCACTCCACCGATACAAAATGAATCACTCATCTTTCTCTTCAAAGACATGCTTGCAATTCCGCAGTGCTCTTATCTGCTTTCATGCCAGAAGGAGGGTGAGGACGTCATGAAGCTGAGGGAAAATTTAAATTCTCCGCTCAACTATTCTAAGTCTAGAAAAATAGATTACTTATTAAAAGTCCCCTTAGCTCGTTACCCCTCAACTTAAGCATAGTGGTCTCTTGACAGTCTTGAATCTTTCTGTGGTTTGGGGTATGGCTGAGCTGTCATCAAAGAGCTCTTTCTTTTCCTCGGTCAATGCCACAATCCCTACCCCCATGCACACCTGCTCTTCTGCTCCTTACCTGGGGGCTCCACGGGGTTTCATGCTCATTGGGATTGACCCAAGAGAAATGCTACAAATTCTGAGATCTTTTTTTTTCTGGATTCCTGCTTCACCGTTGGGCTTTGAAACTGATCTCAATTTATCAATCCTTGTCAGTCAGGATTTATTTATATTTACAAACATACAAGGTTTGATGCCAAATACTTATCATAGATGTAGGCAACCTGTGAGAGATTTGCCATGGTCCCCGATGGGCACATCATCCCTGCATCTCACACGTATGTGGCATCCGAGATGCAGAGGCTTTCCTCACGGTCATCCAGGTAAATACAGCCAGAAATCAAAAGTCTAGCCCCTGCTCCCAAGGCCTGAGGCTTTTCTCCCACACGACAGATGCTCTGAGAACTGGTCCTAGCTGACAGCGGTTGGGATGGCTATGGACAGACTTGTCAGTCACCCTCATGCCAGCTGAGGCAAAGGATGACTAAGAAAAGGATGGTTAGATTTGAAACTCTCAGTTAAACATATTCTTCTGCATAGTCCATGATCCCAGGGTCAGTTTTGAAGCTGTGATTTCTGTAATCTGGGCTCACATCATCCTAGTAATGAAGGCTGATGAAGGAGCTGTTGGCAAGTACATATGTACACCACCTCCAGCTCTGAAGTCCATGGCTTTCACGGGTTTATCACTGAGGCACTTTGCTGACCGTTGGGCCAGGAGCTCATGGTTAACTAATTTCTCCAAGAAGGTTTACTAGTAGGTAGTGGTCGGGACAGTGGGTGGGAAGCAAGAAACAAGAGAAAGAGACCCTCAAAGGAGCCAGGGGAGCTAGTGAGGGGGAGTAGGCTCCATATATTCCAGAGCGAACACAGGACACAACAATCTAGCTCCAGCCTTTCAGGAGTTCACACGCCTCTCCTAGGAGGTTTTAGCAAACTCAGTAGGTTGGCACCAGAGGAAATAGCTTCCCTGTCATTAGGGACTGGACCATGTCATTGTGTACAGTTCAAAGTTCATGACTCCTCTATACCAATAGGATGGTCAGGGCTCAGAGGTTGCTTCCGAAAGGCTCTCAGTTTCCCTCTGGGTCCTTACAGAGGAACCAGCCCTTGTTGGTCTAGAATATTGGATTCTGCTCCCCATTCTCCAGCAGGGGACATTTGATAATGTCTACGACATTACATAGGGTCTTACTATGTAGCCCCAACTGTCCTGGAACTCACAGTATAGACCATACTGGTCTCAGACGCACAGAGATCCACCTGCCTCTGCCTCTCAAGTGCTGGGATTAAAGGTTTGCACCATCACAGCCAACTTAGGATATTTTTGATTGCCATGACTTGGCTATCACATGGGTAGATGCAAAGGCATTCCTCATGACAAAAAAAAAAAAATTATTCTGCCTCAGCTGTCAACAGTTCTGAGGCTGAGGACTCTCATCTAGACTGAAGGCACCTGGAGTCCTCTGAGAACGCCATTTTGAATTATAAATCCTTGGGACTCTGGACTGTGTTCCCAGGAAAAGATACATACATGCACACATAAACACATATCTGTGAATCTGGGGGACTCATCGACTCGTGGCTTTCATTATGGTTATCGCTCTAAGACACCAAGGAAACTGAGATGAGCTACTCTTAAGGGAAACCTGGCCTTTCTTTATGGTCTTACAAAGAAAAGACTTGTAAGTGCCAAGACCAGCGAGCCCAGGTCTGCTGACTAGATGCATCATGGGACAGACTATTCTCAAAGCGGGGTAGCTCAAGGTGACAGAAATCTCTAAACAGGGGGGCGGAGTGCCAGCTTACCATGCCAGAGCCTTTCCTTGCCTTCTCCAGCTCTTGGAAGAAGTTTTCTAGCTCTTTACCTTCAATGTACCCGTTTCCTGTAAAAACAGATGGAAATGAACAGAAAGGAATTAACCTTAGCACGGAACAGTGAGACTAAGGAAGGGTGGAATTTGCCAACTTCCTACAAAACTTTTCCCCTCCAGTCTGCAAACAGGTATCTTGGCCAGTCATGTATGGGTCCTTGTCTTTAGAGTACTTGCAGGCACACATTTAAGATTAATGAGTGTCCTTGGAATATTGAGCCCACAGCTGCAGAACTGGAGAAACAGTGGAGGAATGCTTATCTGGTCAGCTGACAGAGATGGCTGGTGTTCATGAGCAGGCCCTGAGTGTTGGAGGTCCCAGGAAGCACCCTCTGCAACAGGTCAGCAGGTGGCAGGCCTGGGACTGGGGCAGAAGTTGGGTTTCTGAGGTTGAGAAGGTATACAGAGTTGGAGAGTGTTCTTCCGGCCTCCACCTGGGACCTTAGAGTGTGACTTTATTTGGAAGTAAGGTTTTTATAGATGTCACTAGTCGTGACAGGTGTCAAAGCATAGGGAAAACAGAGGCAAAGATTAGAGCCACAAGCTAAAGAATATTGTAGATTGCTGCTGCCTCTAGAAGCTGAGGTATGCCAGAGTCTCTCCCCCAGAGCCTATAATGTGTGCATGTACACACACACACACACACACACACACACACACACACACACCCACCCCTTGATTTCCAAATCCTAGTCTCGAGAACTACAAAGGCATTCATTTCTGTGGTACTCTGCCATGACAGTCCTGAGAAATAAATGCAGACGAAAACCATGAAAGAAAATAACTTGACCCATCTCATCTGCAGAATGGGTTGTACGAGTTAAAACAGTTTTGCTTGTTGTTATTTGAGACAACGTGTCAATAAAAGCCAGCCCAGCCTGGTCTCAAACGTATGAACCTATTGTTTCTGCCTCCTAGGTGGAGAGTATAGCCACGTGGCTTACATAAGATTTTTTTAGAGAGAGAGAACATGTTCACATGTATGTACAGCTTGTGTGTACACATTTGTGTACACATGAAGACAAACGGTCAATGTCCTGTGCCTTCTTTCACTCTCTGCATTATTCTCTCACTAAACCTGGATTTGGTTTTGGCTAGATCAGTTGGTCAGTCCTGTTTGTTCTTCCTGCCAAGTTCTGAAGCTACAGACCTGTACAGCCATATCTGGATTTGATGCAAATGCTGGGACTCAGACTCGGGTCTTCACGATTGTGCAGCTGCTAAGTGGGAGTTTTCGTATGTAAACCACACAGTCTATCATGAGTATGTCACAAATATTGGTATTGTTTGAGCCCAGTTGTCAGCATCTGTGTACAGGATGGAAATGGACCTGAGGAAAAAGTTTAATGAGCAGAACCAGGTATGAAGGTCAAAACTTGACTTGTCTGAAGATCACAGGAGTAGTGCAAAGCTGTATAGTTTCCTTCAACTGGAGCCTGAGTGGCCCAGACGCCAGTGCTGAGCTGAGTCTATGGCCAAGGTCACACGTCTGTGCTAGCACTTATGAGAAGGAAACTCAGATATGGCAAGGACAATGGTTCCAAGATTTACTGCATATTGGAATCTCTTGAGGATCATTAAAAAAATGGATGTCTGGCTCTCACCATTAGACATTCTGATACCGCTAGCTTGGGTTGTGAACTAAGCGTTGTAGCTTTTCTTTTTTAAGGCTCCCAGGTGATTTCTTTGTACAGTGATGTGAGGCAATCACTAAAGTCAAGTTCCAAGAAGAGGTCCGACCTGAATTGTTAAGAAAGTGACCACTTTCTTCAAGGGCATATGGAATTGCAGCCTTAACAAAACAAACAAACAAACAAAAAACACAGAAGCATTTTCCTTAGCCTCTGTGGGTAGCACGGGGATGGGAGGATCTTTCTAACCTCTCTTCCTAGTGCCCCTGAGGTCTTAAATCCCAAATAAATAACCTTAGAGGCAATCCCTCAAGGGGAAGATGCTTCAATAAATATCGTACAGAGAGAATTGCATGAGATGAATTATGCATTTATTTTTGTCCGCAAAGAAAAGGTGATTACTGAGTTCCTCTGGGGTGAGGGAGTTGTCTTTTCCTCTAGCTTGTTCTATAAAGTACTTCGGGAGAGTTGGAGGTTCACAAGGGGGTGGGGCTTGTTGGTCTGAGAGGCCAGCTGGAGCAAGGTACAGTGAGCAGAAGCTTTCTAGGCAAAGAAGCAAAGGTTGGTGACGACCCGCTGAATTGGCACCTAGTGGTTTCGTTCTCCTGCTGTGATCTGACAATTATCCCATCCCTTAGGTGCAGCTTCCCCTGGATTAGGAGCCAAGGCCTTGTCCCCACACTCTTCCCCCTGGGAGTCTTTACAAATTTAGGCAGTGTGGTAGAAAGCTGAGCTCAGCTCTGAGTCCATCTGCAGCTTTCAGAAGCCCAAGGCTAGGGCAGGTGAAATGGGGGGGCTTGGAGCTAGTAGCATGAGCATGAACAGTGGTCCATGTTGTAGAGGCCGCAGGGGCTTGGGGCCAGGAGCCTAGGTCAAGTAGGTGGGTGAGTGGGGGCCTCCTGAGGACATTAGAAGGTTTCTGATTGGACTTGGAAGGGGAGGCAGCCACACAAGGAAGAACCGCCTTCGCTCAGCTCTGCATAGTATCCCTTACGAAAAGTCCTCAGCCGATCCCCACTTCACATGTCCCCTGATGCTCTGTCACTTCTTCAGCCCCTCCACCTGCTGCATGCGGGGGGGGGGGGAGGGACTTACTGGTCCTTCTTATCTAGGGACCAACACCTGTTTCTCCTCCTGTGACACCCAAGCTAAGAGCATCACCTCTCCAAACCTCAGTTTCTCCTACTACAAAGTGGGATCAATGATAATTCCTCCTCCTGTGACTGCTGGAGAGATGTAACTGGAAAAAAAAATGAACTTAGGGTGCTGACCCATACGAGCCTCAACCATGCCAGGGCTGTGGGCATGGTGCTGGCCTACACAAACCTCGGCAGTACCAATGGTGCATTTGAGGTTGCAATGCCAGCCAGACCCTGGGAGGTCGAGGCAGGAGGGAGGAGCAGTAGTCGGTCCCTTGTTGAGAAGGGCCAGTGACTTAGCAAATATAAGCCTTGGCTACATAGTGAGTTACTGGCTAGCTAAAGCTCCGTAGTGAGACCCTAGCTTGGAAAAAAAAAAAAAAAGGCAAAACAAAACAAACGGTGTCAGTGATCATTCCCACAAAAGCTCCTGCCTCCAGCTCCCTGTTAGGAATACTTTGGCCCTGCACTGCTAAATGATGATGTAATGAAATAGAAGTGATTTTTCCCAAGGACCTTTGAGCAAGAAAGGCCTCACCGAGAAGTCCCAGGCAATGGGTAGGGGGAGAGAGAAGGAAGAGTAAGCTTAAAGGTAGGAAGAGGGGACTAGGAGCTGAGATAATGGCTTTGTGCGAAGAAGACCCCTTCCTGGATAGAGCAAGAAGCAAAGGGGTTCCCACACACACCCACTGGGAAATGATAAGAATCTCCCCATGTCCCTGAACAAAAGGAGAAAATTAGCTCCATGCAATGAGTCTTTGTTTCAAACTGAACAATAGTTCCAAGCTGCAGACATGGGCTTGTTCCCACAAAGCAGAGTGGCCCACAGGGATGTGACCAGCCATTGAAAAGGCCGGATAAGCCGTTCAAAGTAGAGACTGAGAGGTGTGGAGTGGTCATATGAGTGGGGTCAGGAAGAACGGTTTCCACCACTGAAGGGACAGGCCTAAGGTCCCTCTGAGGTCTCCCCCAACCATCATTTAGCCATTTCATGTAGGGCCGGGATACAGGAGCAGTTGGCCAAAATCCATCTAGGAAGATTTAAGCCCTGGATGAGTGGTTTTCTTTCTTTTCTTTTCTTTTTCTTTTTCTTTTTTTTTTTTTTTTTGGGGGGGGGGGGAACCAGGTAAATCTCATGTGGATGAGCATTGATAAAGATGTGGTTACCATAGTAACCATCATTGCTAACCTCCTTTAAACCATGAACATTGGAGAGAGGGGACTAAGGGAGCTGGGGACCTTGCATCCTTCCTGAACCTACTTTTGCTTCCGTATTTCACCACTGTGTATCCCAAAGCTAAGGACAGACAGTGTTTCACCATCATTAATCTGACCACAGAGGATTGGAAATTCTTGACTGAAGAATGCTGCAACCCAGAAAGACTTATTTGTTCCTCCCTGAGGTTTGTATGTACAGATTTTCTGATGTGTGCAGGCAAAAGGTACCCAAAGAGGAGAGACTGCCTGTACCAAGGGTTTGACGACTGTCCCTTGCTCTAGGACAAGTCAATTCCTCTGTGCCTCAGTTTCTCTCTCAAGTGGACAAAACTACTTAAGCCCTCTCCACTTTATAGAGTCACCACGAGAGCCATACACAGCAATGTTTTGGAAATAGTCTGGAGAGTGTAATATCTATAAATGGAAGGCATCATTTTTTCAGCTCCTCACCTCTTCGACACTAAGGGCTTCTGACAACCACTGAGTTATCTCTTTAGAGCGCTGGAATCTTGGGAAGCTTAAGCAACAGTGCCATTGCCTGCGCCCTACACCTCTCTTGCTTAATTGCTGGGGTGCAGGTGTCTGGATGTCTTCCGAGCTTCCAAGGCTGGCAGCGCATCTCAAACGTGAGGGCATGGACCCATCGCCTGGGGATCTTGTTAAAGTGAAGGGTTTAGTTTGGGAGCTTCGGAGTACCATGGAGGGGCTGTTCCTGCTTTAGGTGTGTGGACTGGTGGTAACCTGGGAGCTGGTTAGAAATGTCAAATCCAGCTCAGTGGTAGAGTGCTTACAAAACACACATGAGCTATCAGGTTTAATTCCTAACTCCCAACCCGGAAAAAGGCAGAACCTTCGGCACCTCCCTCAGTTTTCTGAATCTCTCACTGGGTGTGGTGCCCAGGGACCTGCTTAACCATTCCTTGGGTGTTCTCTCACTTCCTGTAGTGGCAGCATTGGTGTGTTCAGGAAGCCTGTCTGTGTTCACGTTGCTTTGCATAGCAGGCACCGGACACTTCCAAAGACC